AGGGGTGAGGCTAGGAAAATAAATCACTGCCCTTTGACACTTGTGAAGAGGAGTGCGAAAGGCAGCTTTGATGTACGGAAAGAATATTAATTTGCAGTCAAAAATTCATTCAGTAGTCAATTCAGTCATTGCCCTTCTTCTCCCTAGAAGATCTGCCTTTCTCTTTCTCTTTTCACAGTCTAAGTTTCGCCCAATCCAATCCTCACTGTATTCAAGAGTGAGTAAGGTTCTGTTGCTCTAAAAAAAAAATTATACATACAGAAAGCTAAAAGGAGTTCAGGGAGTTCAAGCCAAGGAAGCCATTGCAATGCGTTCCTTTCTTTCCTTTATCCACTTCTGGTGCTGCTGTTACTCCTTCTTCTGTCACTGCTTCCTTCACCTTCTGCTCTTCCCGTTCCCTACTTCACTTTTGTATTCCTCCAGCGCTACGCGCAATATGCGTAGCAGCAGTGCGTCAGCCGTGCGTCGGGTGGGGAGAGTGGGGAGAGTGGGTGCGAGATGGAGTGTCGTGTATTTGCACATGTTTCCGTGAGCTCTAGCTGCGCCACTGCTTTTGCTGTTTTTGCATATCCTTTATAGAGGTATATAAGCTGCATGCAGCAACAAATTCCAGTGCCCAATGCGTGATCGAAAATACAGCACCGGACTCAGTTAGCCCCAGACTTTAATTTTGCCTTTAGCTGGCCCCTACAGGGTATCAAATTGTCAACTCAGACGCAGACTTTCTTGCTTATGTTCTGCTGCTGCTGCTGCTGCTGCTGCTGCTGTTTGCGCGTGTTGAATTTTTGTTATGTTTCCACTTCTTATGCTGCTGCTGCGACTCCCACTCCCACTGCCTCTCTCGCTTTTTCTTCTACTTATTTTACTTTTGCATAAAAGAGTGCGTGAGCGCAGAGAGTGTTCATGTGTGTTTGTGTGCGCTTATTTATGCGTATTTGTTTGCATTGCTGATGATGTGCCAGCAGCAGCAGCAGCAGCAGAACGACAACAACAGCAACAATAGCAACTTTATGCGTATGCCGTGCGTGCTGGCTAACATTTCCGCATTTACCCCGACACTTCCCCCCCCAGCCATACCTCTTGATGTGGTGGGTGTGGCTGGGCGGCAGCGCCATTGCAATTAGAAAACTTGCAATGCAACTTTTTTCTCCATCTGTAATGCAATGCGCTAAATTGTTTGCTGCTGCTGCTGCTGCTGCTGCTGCTGCTGCATTGTGTGTGTCTGTTGTGTGTGTTAAGTGCAAAGTCCTGCTCGCAGTTCTGCTGCTGCCACAGCAAGGACTGCTCTGTGTACGTGCTGTGAAAGTTTTTTTCTCTCGTTTTAGCGCATTTCATGTTGCACGTTTGACGCATTGTTCGCTGATGCCGCCGCCGCTGCTGCTGCAAAGGCTGAGTCTGCAGAGGATTGAGTACCCTGTACACCAGTTGGGGTATGCTGCACACATAGAGGAGTTTTTAGAGGCAATAAAGAAATGTTTCCCTGCAACTATTTTCCAACTAGAGCTACCAAAAAAGACTAATTTTATAACCCGCTTTTTCCTTGCCAAATCCAATTATCATTGAGGTATCCTTTAGCCGTTACATCCACTATTTGTTTGTTCTCTTTTTATTTTTTTGTTAACATTTCTTAAATTTTTGTTTCGTTGCTGCTTTCTTTTATTCCTTCTTGAGTGCAAACCACCCCCACACGAGTCCACCAGCAGCTAAGGGATGTTTATGCAGGACCAGCACCAGCAGCAGGACCTCTGCTACGCGGAATGACTTGACTTTTGGACAGAGATATAGAGAGAGAGAAAGAGAGAGAGAGAGAGAGATCTGCTGCTCGCTGACGCATACAACTTTTTACTTGTAGTTTTAAGACAGCAAAGAAAAAGAACAAAAAAAGGAAACAAGAAAACCTGAAATTAAATTGATTTTTTTTGCACAGCTTTCTACATCCTATGGCTGAGAGTACAGATCCACAGGATCCTCCCCTCCATGCAGCAGCGCGCAACTCTTTCAACAAGAACAACAATTTATTGTTTCAATTATATTTTTCAATTTGCGCCGACAAACAAAAAAGTCCAATGCAAAAAAGGCTCTCAGCTATAAATAAAATAAATAGCAAACGAACTGAAATTTGTTTTCCCCCTCCTGCCCTGCCGGCCCCTGCTGCCGTCAGGTTTATGCGCGAAATGGAAATTTTACGGAGGAACCCCGGAAAAAGTTATTGAATGTAAACATGATGTACAAGAAAAAACACAAAAATTGTCTCAAATCATATTTAAAGAAAATTAAATTGAATTTACGGCACGGCACGGGTTCCACGTTGTTGTTCTTATTTTTTTGCTCTTTGCTGGGGGGTTCTGTGTGTGTGGTGGGGTGTGGCTGGAGCAAACAGAATGATAAGCAAAAATAATCAAAAATCGATTTGGAAAGTGCGTCTCCATCTCTCTATATAATTTGTATCTCTCCCGTTTTGTTTTCGTCGTGTGTAACAAACAATATGCCAGAATATTTTCCATTTCATGTTTGTTTTTCCCTGTTGCTGTGAAAATGCAATCAAATTTGTTGCTGTGATAGGCAGAGGCAACTTTCACTGCCAGAAAGCATTGGCAAATTGTACTTTTCTTTATATTTTCCGACTCAAACGGATTTTGGGAGCAAAAAGGGGCTAAACTCGGGCTACAGGAAGCGCAAAAGTGCAGAGGAAATGGAAAATCTAAAGGCAATATTTCTGCGGGCAGTGGGGGGTTCGTTCCAACAATAGATCCAACAATTTAAATCGAATTAGGAGTGAAGAACATTTGTTTGTAATACAAACTCTAACTGGAGCATATCAATCCTACAAATTATAAACTCCACAAATATATTAAACCAAAACAATCAATCATTTGGCTGGCCCAACTTTCAGTCTGGTGCCCCCGTTTTGGCCTGCAGCGCAGAAGGCCTTCAGCAATTAGTTTCTAAGTTTTGTAACCTGCTGACCCTCTGCTGTTCTATGTACTTTCAGCTGGCTACATTTAACCCCTCGAAAAAGTGGACTAAATGACAACCGTTTCCTCCATCCAACTCCCGGGAGCTCCCGCTCCCTCCATCTCATTTTTCCTTGTGCGAGAGTTTTACTTGGGGTGCGAATTCACTTAGTTCGGGGCGTAGTGCAGGAATATGCATATAACCTGTTAAAAGGGTCCGACAGAGAGGAGTCGGTCAAGCTGAAAAATTGTGTGCTGCAATTGCACCTTGCCACGCATGCAACCCGAGGGTGCAACAGAGGCAGACGCCGCTAGGTCTTAACCCCTTTTTTTCTGGTGCCATGCATCGCTGGATCTGTGTATAAATAGAGTGAAAAATAATAAAACCCAGAGTGTTCCATGGGGTTCTAGGGTTTCACAGAATGTCTATATGTACATACATGATACATACATATGTACATATTTATGTACGTATCCTTGATCTATTTGAGTTCTGTCTATCATTCTGAAGTGTAAAACCCTTTGTTGTTGTTGCTGTGGCAATTACGTGGCTCTGCTTGGGCTCTCTTGTTGTTTGTTTATTAATAAACAATAGCAACAACAAATTGCTTAATTGCTGCGATTGCACCTGGACACGCCCTTACCCTTACGCTGCTCCTCCTTCACCCTTGACGCGCTTCAACAGCCTGTGGCATCATTAGGTGAAGGATTTTTGTGTCTCATTAAAAAGAAAGTAGAGAAAAGAGATTTTAGCAGTCATTATTGAAAGCAGTGGAATCCTAAAGGGGGAGAGATATAATTTCTCAATGGTCTGCCAAACCCTCCATTAGCTGCCAGCAAAGTGTAGATTTTCCAACTAACTTTCGCCTCCCTGCACTGCGGCACTTTTGTTCTCTAACTATTAACAAGGACTCCCCCCCCCCCATGCCGCCTGCGTTACTTCTTGATGCTTTGAAGGAGACCTTTTCCTTGGCCTTCCACCTGGCACCTGGCATGCAAAGTACCAGCAAGTATACGCAGCGTTGTCCCCCGTGCGTAATTACATAACATTAATTTGCATTCAACTTGAATGACATTTTCTTGGTGTTCTCCGCTTGGAGCTGCGCTCTGTCTGTGCAATCAATGCAAATGTTGCGCGCTGCTCTGTCTGAGCTTAACAAGGATGTGAACATTTATTTATTAAACATTTAACAACGCTTTATGATCAGCGCACAGTTTTATATAAATGTGGAGAAGAGCAGCAGCAACCATTCCATCATCATCCACATGGGCAGCAGCAGCTACAAATCAGTTCCACAAAGCATTCAATTGCGCAGACAACACAGATACAGATACAGATACAAATGCATACATAGAAACCAGCACACACACACACACATAAGTATTTTATTATTTAATTTATGCGCAGAGACAACAAAACAACAACAGCAAAATTGTGCTGGTAACGAAAAAAAAGAGACAAAAAGAAAAAGGCAAAAAAAAAAAACTACCACAGCACATCACGGCCCGTCAGTGGCATAGATGAAAAGATACATTTGTATCATCGGCAAATCTAAACAATGGAAAACAACCAAAACATAACCAGAATGCCCATCGAGCAGCTCTAATATTTAGGTAGAAGCAGGAATGACTCAAAGGTGGAATATTAGAAAAAGATTAAAATATAATATAAAGAATAAAAAATCAACTTTCTGAATTAAATATTCCTAGGAATTGTTCAGTGTGAAAATTCTGCCAAATAAGTAAACTCCAAATGAATTGCAGGATTAAAAGCTTAAACAAATACTGGCCAAAAAACAAAACAAATATTCAATTAAAACTAATGGAAATTCGGATACAGAAAAAAGCAAGCCGAAGCCGCTTTTAATAGATGAAAAGTTGAGCTCAAAAAAGGAGATTAAATGCAGCGTAAATAAATATATATGCATATTTAATTCCCTGCATGGATTAAATGTGTTCAAATAATAAAATGCATTAATTAATAATTATAAATATTAACGGGGAGGCGGAATAAAATTGAATAAATACACAAAGGGCAATACATACGGTTTTGGCTTTGGGTTCCTGCAAATGAAAGAAAACAAGATAGAAAAATGAAAAATAAATTAATTATAAATGCAGATGCAGAAAATAATTAGCAATAATTACAAATGAAATAAATCTGTGCAGAACAGAGGGAGAGTCACTCAATGAAAAGGAGAGGGGAGTGAAAAATAAAATATGTATTGCAAATAAAATCATTTCATAAGCGTGAATGTAAAATGTTTTATATTATGTAAATGTGTATTTCAAGGAACGACTGTCAGGCGCTATCATGAAAAGCAAAAAAATAAACCCACTAATTGGCTGTCATGGCGGCGGCAATTTGCGAAGCCAAAACAAACAAACAGCAATGAGAATTCCATTAAAGGGCAAAGAGCACAAAACAATGTACAATTTATGATTTTGATGGTTCTTAAAGTTTTGATATAAATATTTGTTGGGCGCATGCAGAACCCAAGGCAAATCCAGACCAAGTCCTAAGCGGCTTAAAATAATATATAGAGAAATATATGGAAAACAAATCCTTGTTCATTCATCAATGCTAGTTGGATCTGATGTCTGCCCCATCCCTCCGTATAGAGAATTGTGTGCAATGTGCATGGAGTGGCATGCATGCATTCGGCTTAGGTTTCGGGTGTTAGAGCTGGCTTAGGAGCTCCAGAGGAACAGACGGGCGGCAATGGAAATCCGAACAGATGTGCCAGAGAGCGAGAGACAGAGAGTCAGAGAGACAGAGAGCTGCTGCAGATGTTCCATGGAGGAAATAAAACAACGGAAACTGAGAAATTCTCAATCGGATTCTGTGGCCAGGACAAAAGTTTTTGTATGCCACACAGAACCAGAGCAGAGCATTGAACTCGCATTTGAAATGCTCCGGATTCACAGGCAGAGGCAGAGGCAGAGCATGCCTGGCAGCTTCTTTTGGGACTTATCGAATGACAAACGCACATATTGAATGAATGATTGAAGGCCACGAAGGGAGCACAAAGCAGAAAGAGAGAATGATAAAAGAGAGAGAGATAGAAAAGAGGAGGAGTCAGTCGTGTGCCTGACCATAAGCGACAATTAACTGAAAGGACAAAACATTTTTGGTTCAACAATTGAGTGTGTATTTTTTGGCAAAAAGATAAACTGATAGAGAGAGAGAGACAGGCACTAAGAGAAAGGCAACGAAAGAGATAGCAAGAGGGTGGGTGGGGGTTGAAAGAGGAGTTGCTGCTTGCAACTGGATATCTGGATCGCTGGGAGCACACGACCATCGTCCAAGTATCATGTTGCACATGCACAACACATCCACAGCCACATGCACATGCACATGCTCATAACGAAGCTCATCAAGAGCATTATCATCATCCTGGGGGCTCAAGTATCGGGCCATGTGCATGTCCATGTCCATGTGCATGTGTGTGCATGCATTATCCTGTTTCTTTTTTCTTTTTTACTTTATTTTTTTCCCCTGTTGGAGCTGCCAACGTGCCAAAAAAAAAAAACACTGTGTGTGAGCGCTCTACCTATGGCACGGCATGGCAGTCCTTTAAGCGTGTCTGTGTGCTGGTATGGCATTCTCCCTTAAGAGTGTGTGTCACGAGGAGCGGACATGAAGAGTGCGGGAGCGGGGAGTACACCTTCAAGTAGGAGCATTGCACTCACTGTGGCCCAATGGCAGGACTAAGGCTACACGGATGCGATGTATTTGTGCATGGAAGCACTTTCATGCTCATATGCATACTCAGTGTACTTTTTCTCTTCTTTTTGTTTGTTGCCTGAAAACCTTTAAGTTGTTATGGCCAAGGGTGCACCCACGCCCACAGCCCGCCCATCCATCGTGCACGTTTTTAGTGACTTTCACAGTGGATTTGCCCTGAATGGAGTTGGTAGCGAAACGTGAATTGAAAAATAACATCAAGAAAATGAGTAAAGGGAGCCAAAGAGCAGCAAGAACAGACGTAAATGGAGCTAGAAAAGAAGCAACTGAGATCTGTAATAAGGGAAAAGCAGAAAAGTAGCATCCTTGGACATCCGACGTCGCACAAAGAGACAGGACAGGACACGACAGGATTGGATCTCCGCTACCAATGAAGTCAATCACTCAAACCCCTCGGACGCGGGACTACTCCACACCGAAATGGACTTTCGGGGTGGATTCCTTTCTGGCTTTTTTCCCCCACTTTTACTTCACTCTCTCAGACACTTTCAATATTTGCTTCTTGCTTTTTTCTTTTATTGGGAAAAACGAAAAAAAAAAGAGGGACGGGGGGGGGTGGGGGGGGGGGGGGGGGGGGGGGGGGGGGGGTGGGGGGGGGTGGGAACGTTATGGTAGGGAGAGCCAAACGCTTCACCACGAAATTCAAATAGCCAAGTTAATGACTTGCGCCGGAGGGCTTTTTCAGCTGATTTGTGAAAGTACAAAATATTACAAAAAGAGCGAAAGAGAGAAAACCAAAAAGTATAGCCAGAAGAGGAAGGAGAGAGCAGAGTTCATCTTAAATTACGAACAAGACGAAGGAACACAGCGATATGGTGGAAACGGCAGGGGTAGAGTATCGCAAAAATACCGCAGAACTTCATCCAGAAAGTGCATTGATCCGCATTCGATTCGTAAAAATACGAAATGAAATAATTCACGTACGAAATTTATCGCTATAGAGAGAGCGGACAGAGAGGAAGAACAGGACCAGAACGAAACGGCCTGGACGGACGGCACCAGCTGTGCGCTTAAACAGAGGGACAAAAGCCGCGGTGGCGCAAAAGGAGAAACGAAAAGAACATTGTCATTATAAAGTCCATGGACACATGCATAAATATATGAGAGTACATGAGTAATTTCAAACTACATACACTGCACAGCAGGGAACTTGAATGGTTTTCAATTTAAACTTTAAATCGGTGTAGAATGGTGAACTGCTAACCTACACAGTCATCCCTTTGCATCTTTAGCTAAATCACAGCCCAATTTGCACACTTTGGCACAAAACCCAAAATCATGTAGCATGGTGTATGACAGTAGCCGCTATGCTAGCTACGGGTGCCTGCGAAAGTGGAAGGAGAGCCGACAAACATCTGAAAGCTGGACAATGAAAACGCTGATAATGATGATGCGGATGGCGATGATAAAGCAAAGGAAGATATAAAATAAAGCGTCAATTGTCCAAGCAGCGCGCAAAAACGCGCGCGTCAGGAAGAGAAAGAAGCAGAGGCAGAGGAGAACAGTAGGAGAGAGAAGAAGAAGACGACACCAAATCGTCGCAGCCGCTGCTTGCTGCCTATCTCTGCGCGTAATCTTTGTGACGTGTATTGACATGTCAACTGTTGCTGTCGCTGTCGCCGTCGCCGTCGCTGCCGTTGTCTTTGCTGTTGTAAAACTGCAAAATTTACAACTTTATCTATGTGTGTCGTCAATGGAAGCGACAGCTGAGAACCAAACGGTGGGAGCGTGAGAGAGCGGGAGAGGATCTTGGAATAACAACCTTTTGCACAAGGTGTGGTAAAAACAAGGTGACGAAATTGTGCCAGAAAATGGGCTTACTTCAGCAGAAAACGAAACGGCGTTACCTTACCATTAATACACCAACATTTCGTATAGCGCAGCGCCCGCACTCACTCGCTCTCGCTATCCTGTCTGGCTTAATTGTGTGAGCAGCCTGCAGCGCGCCATCTCTCTCACACTCCTTTTGTTGGTTTCCTGTTTGTAGTCCGCGCTGCTGCTGTCGCTGCCGGCGCTGATCATGGAAGAGCTATTTATTTATCTCTGTCGGTCTGCCTGCTGCTTTTGCTTTTGCTGTCGTTGTTGTTGTTGTCTCAAAAGCCGCGTTTTGTAACTTGTGAACATCTGCTCCTCGACGACTCGACTCAACGTTCGTTTGCTTTCCTTTTATTGTTGTTTTCGTTGCTGTGTTTCGTTATATCGTTTTTATTGTTTTTTCTGCTGCTGCTCTTCTGCTTCTTCTACGGGACGGACGTCTGTATTTGCTTTTGCATTTGTATTTGTATGGAAAAGAAAACGCCGCAATATGGAAGCGTCTGTCAATATTGGAAATGTTCTCCCCTTCCCCTTCCACGTTGTTGAATGGATTTGGCAACTGTCCATGTGCGTCGCGTCTCTCTGGCAACCCAATTATTTTTCAAACTGTTAATTGATCCATCTCTCTATATGTGATCCTCTGGAACTCCCTGCTAAGCGATCCTTGGGCCATTGAACTTGTCCACACTTAAGGGACCCAAAAACCACTTGAGATCCGTAGATGCGCAATCGAGTGACGACATCCAGTTGCGTTCAGCTCCACGGGGAGCAGACACACACACACATGTGTAACCTGATTTCCGACCACTCAAAGGACACGCTCAACATAAGCCTGGGAATCTTAAGTGATTTCACAACGAACCCCAGACTGCACATACATTCAAGTGCACCTCGTCGCAAGCACTTGAGCACACACACACGGACACCGAACACACGCATAAGCTCTCTCAGATTCCCGCTTGTAGGTTACTAGTCAAATTGCGGCAGCTGAATATGGAATGACAGTGAGAGAGAGAGAAAGAGAGAGCCGGTTGCTTAATTTGCACTTGGAATCGAGGAACATCTGTTGGGCTGACATAAATCTTGAGTGACTGACCGCGCTGGTGCGAAAGACCGCGAACTCTCAGCATGCCTGCAGGCTCGCTCTCGCGCTCGCTCTGTCTCTCTTTAAGTGAACCGGTTTTAGCCGGTTCCCAGCTGCCCATTCAGGTACAGTGGGTGTGCAGTGGAAAAAACGTATGCAAGATTTCTGATTTAGTAAAATTATGTTGTATAAAATTTGCAGTATTGAGTATAAATTCTATTGTAATAACTGTGATTTGGTAAATTTTGATTGTTGCTTCCCCTGCCCTTAATCAAATTTCTAATTTGTACTACTATTTGTTCAATCTCAGCCCATGGTTCTCCCGTTAATTTCATTGAGTAACTCTGTTCTCGCTCTGAATGAATCGATGAAGAGAGAAAAGGATGATAGGGGGAAATGGAGTGTGGGGGACTTACCTTCTTCTCGGTGAGCTTTTCGCAGCGTCGCTGCTTGCATATCTGATGGCTCTTGTCGTTGCGGCAGGGGGCGCACTCCCCGCAATTGTCCTTGCGTTGGCAGCCAACGCATTCGCCGCAGCGTTTGCGCTTCTTTTTCGACTGAAAGAGAGAGCAGGAAGAGGAGTTGTTGTCGTTGGAGTGGTTGGTGTTGGTATTGGTATTGGTATCGGTGGGTTGTGGGTGGATCATGGCAGTGGCAGTGGCAGTGACAGTGTCAGTGACAGGTGCAGGTGGGCAGACAAGTGGTTGTGGGTGGTGGGGGTGGAGGTAATGGTGGTGGTTGTGGCGATGACCATAATCCTGTTAATCGCAGCGTGTGCCAGTTCCCTCATCACTGATTGATTGTCCCATGACAATGGGAACTTACCTGCTTATCGCATCCATGGGCATTGCCATCGTTGCTGTCCCCCATGCCGAGGGCGCTCAGTGGACTCTTGAAATTCGCCGTACTGGAGACGGCGTCCACTTGGCCAGGATTGCTGGGGTCCACGTCCATGCCGCTGGCCTCACTCTCGGCGCTGGACTCGAGCGAATTGGGCCGCTGTTTCCGCCGCTCCTTTTTGCGCGCCTCCAGCCGTGCTATCGGCGACTGCAGCAGCTTCTCCACCTTGATGGGCGTCGTCGTCGTGGGCATGGGCGTGTGCGAGGGCGTGGGCGTGTGCGGCTGTGTCGTGTGGGGTGTATGGCTGCCGGTGCTGCTCGATCCCGTGGTGGTGGCATGCGGATAGCTGTTGCTATTGTTGCCATCGTACGACGTGGGCGTATGCATGCCCATGGGCGTGACACCGTGCGAATGTCCATGCGGATGCTGCAGTGGATGCTGGAGCGGATGGGGATGCGGATGCGGATGCGGCAGGTGGCCGTGTCCGAGGCCATGGCTATTGCCGAGATCAAAGGATTCCTTTTTCAGCATCATCTCGAAATCGGTGGCCGGCTCCTTCTTCACCAGCGGATGGCCATGCGGATGTGCGTGCGGATGCTGGAGCGAATGTGGATGCGGATGCGGATGTGGCAAGTGGCTGAGGCCGAGACCAAGGCTGTTCCCGCCTCCACCACCCCCACTGTTGCTGAGATCAAAGTCCTCCTTCTTAATCAGCATCTCGAAATCGCTGCTGCCTCCTCCACCACCGCTCGGCTCCTTCTTGATTAGCGGCGCAAATCCCGAATACAGCTGAAGATCCGCGTAGGCAGCCGTCGGAGCTGGCACCAGCGGATACCCACCGGCTGCACGATGATGGTGCGGATTCAGCGCATGATGATGGAAGGCATTCGGCGGCGGTGGTGCCGGAAAACTGGACCCGCCCGACGGTGGCGTAATGCTCGTCTGCATGGAGCCCGGCAGCTGGGTTGTCGTCAGCGGCGATCCCACGCTCATCATGCCCGGCGAACTCACAGAGATGCTGGCCGGTGACATGGCCACCGTTTGCAGGGAGCTCATCGGTGGTGGTCCTGCTGCTGCTCCTGTGGCTGCTGCTGCTGCCGCTGCTGCCGCCGCTGCTGCTGCTGCTGCCATGGGTATGGGCATGGGTGTCCCATCCGGCATCAGCTGATCATTGAACCCATGAAACTGACTCTGGAACGATGGCAGCTTGGAAAATGGCTCAAAGCCGCTCTTCAATGGCAATTGCTGCTGTTGCTGCTGCTGCTGCTGTTGCTGCTGGAGATGCGTTTGGCTTTGGGTTTGGTTTGGGTTTGGATTTGGATTTTGGTTTTGTTGTCCGCTATCCTTGGACTCCATTTCCCACGGACGTGTATAGCTTCCGTTGGAATTTGAATTGGAGTTTGAGTTGGCGTTTGCGTTTGCGTTGGCGTTTGAGTTGGTGCTGTTGCTGTTGCCACCTGCTACTCCTACTCCGGTGGTGGCGGCGGAAATGGCATTAGAATTGGCATCATTGTGCTGCCCACCATGGTCATGGCCATTGGCAGCGATAGCATGACCGCTGCCCAAAGGCGCAGGCACCGCTGTCTCGTTGTTGTTGTTCCCGTTGGAGCTTGAGGCGGCCGCTGTCTGCTGCTGCTGCCTCTCATAGTACTCCCAATGTTGCTGCTGTTGATGGTAGTGTTGCTGCTGCTGCTGCTGCTGCTGTTGCTGCTGCTGCTGCTGCTGTGCGTGGTAATGATGATGATATGGCGCTGTATAGTGCTGACTGAGGCTGCTCAGCTGATTCAAGTGCGTATTGTGCAATCCGGATACGGCTGCTGCCACAGATGTTGCTGCCCCTGCCACAGTGGGATGAACAGTGATGCTGCTGCTGCTGCTGCTGCTGCTGTCGACGTTACCGCCTCCTGTGCTCTGGCTTTGGGCTAATATTGAAGACGCCATTTAAGCACGGACTGTGGCATGGCTACGCAGTTATGATTCACTGCGTGCGGGGAGGGCTGTGATGGGTGGGGAATGAACTTGCAACAAATCTCACTACGTGCCTTGGTTGATTTTTCTTGATTTATTGTTTGTTTGCTTTGCTTTAAATGTCCTTGAAAACTACTTGCAAGTCCTTTAGTTTTCTATGAGCTTTAATTTATGTTGTAGTTAGTTTATTTTTTAACTGTTTTTTGTACACTTTTTCCTGTTCACTTTTTCGGGCTCTTTAGCAGTTCTTTTTTTTTTGAGGTAGTTAATCAATCGAAAAATTCTTTGCTTTGTTTTTTGTTTGTTTTGTATGGCTTGGTATCAAGTTTTTGTGTTTGTGCTTTTGTTGGCTAGTGTAAAACACTTTTGTGATTATATTTAGTTAATTATTGTTATTATGTTTTTATCTATTTTCTATTTATATAGAAATTTGAAGCTACTCCAAGATTTGTATTTCGTTTTTACTCGATTTTTTGTTTGTTTGAACTTTACTGGTTTTATATGCGTGTCGTATTTTATTTTTTAAGTTAAGTTGTGTAAAGTGCTTTTGTTTATTTATTTAAAAATTTGTATTGATTACTTTCAAATATTTGTTGTTGTTGTTTTGTACTTTATTCTTGTTGTTGTTGTTGTTGTTGTTGTTGTTGTAAAACGGCAGCTATATGCAAAAATTTTTTTTTTTTTGTGTGTTTTTACCTTTAATATATTTTTAAAATTTGTAGCAGACTTTCGACGTTTTGTTTGTTTTGTTTAAAAAATTTGTAAATTTGTAATTTGTAAAATTTGTATGCGTTGTTGTTGTTGTTGTTGTTGTTGTTGGTTATATATTTATAGGTATATATAATTTGTTTTTGCTTTTATTATTGATTAAGTGTTGCTCTTGCTTTGATATTTGTTTGTTGTTGCTGTTGCTTTGTTGTAAAATTGATGAATCCTTTGTACTATGTTTGTTTTGTTGGTTTTACTTCCTTCGATTTGTTGCTTTTTGTTGTTTTTTTGTTGATTATAAAAATAGTTGCAGTTTTGTTTGTTAAGTGAAGTTTTTGTTTTGTCGTTTAATATTTAATATCTTTTAATTGTAGATTGTACTTAATTCGTAGGCTTAAAAATCTTTGTCTTCCGTTTGTTTGTTTGTTTTGGGTTCCTTAAGAATTACATAAACATTAGCGATTTGTTGTTGTTGGCCTTAATTCGTAGAATATTAGATATTTTTGTCTGTCATTTATTTTCTATGATTTTTAATTCATTTTATTTTTGGTTTCCAAGTTGTTTTTTTATTTTTGCTAATTTTGATTGTTAGCCAAAAAGGGAAGAAATATTTTCCCAAGATTTTTGTCCAGAATATAATTGTTGTTTTTTGTTGTTGTATTCTCAAATCCGTTGATTGGAAGCTGTAAAGAAGTGGAGGGAAAAAACACTGCGTTAGTTGTAAGGTTTTTCAATGAAAAGAACTATTAAAATTGAAAGAAAAAATTTGCCTTAAATTTATTGATTTTTAAAAGTATTTTTCACATTTTAAAATCTAACCACAACCCGAGAAATCTGTAAAATAAATTCTGAAAAAATATTTATTATACTTTTGGCTCTACCAGAAACCATCTTTATCGCTGTGCTCTTCTCTCTGTCACTCTCTCTTTCTCGGCTTTAAACATCTACAACGCTTCAACACATAATTATGGTCTTTGACTGTATAATGAGCGGCGTTGGCCAAGGCCCAAGAAGAGTCCCAGTCCCAGTCCCAGTCCCAGTCCCAAGTGAGGCAGGAAGCGGCAGCAACAAAAAAAAAAATAACAAAAAGTTCCCATAAAAAAATGAAGCTAAAGGACACTCACTTCTGGGGTTTTTTTTATTGCTTTTGCTGCTGCTGCTTTTGGCTTGTAAGTTATGGCTCTTGGCTGCTGCCAAGTTTCTTTGGCTTTTGTAAAGTCTCACACACACACACTCGCTAAATACAAAACACACACAGATACACAGATACCCAGATACTTCTTTTTAGCGTATTTCAGTTGCCTTCAACGCCCGTTGTCATTTTCTTGCCGTTTTTTTTTTCGCCATTTTTCTTCGCTGTTTTTTTTCTCTTTATTTTATTTTTTGTTTTATTATTTTTGTGTTGGTTCGCAGGCACAGGTGTACCTTTTTTTTGTTGCTGCTGTTCGCGCGTCCTTTTGGCTCTTTGCATTTGGGCTCAGCGCTTCAGAACGTTTCGTTGCGCTTCAGAAAGTTCATTGGGCTCACGGCAGCGTGAGGCATGATGATGATAATGATGTTGCCCCAAGCTGACAGAGGGACACACACACACACGCAGGGGCATATGTAGGGGCTCGTTTCATTGGAGGTGTTGAAGTGAGAGTTAATTTGACATTGACTAGCAGGCCCAAAACCGATCAGCATCAACCGATTTTGCGTGACTAGAAGAAGTTTAAATTCCCATGAATGATTCTGAAGTGCAGCACAATTAGCAGAGGCCAGCAGCAGCCGCTTGGTAATTGTTTTCAAGGGGTCTATAATATGTTTTATGATAGGAATTCTGTGTGCAAAATTGTGTTGAGTTTCCCCATAGGAAACTATTAAAATTCGTCTCTCTGCATGGTTATCTTTTAAGTTTTAGATCTCCAACCATCGATTTTTAGTGGTTAAATTAGTTTTCGCTCTTCCAACTTCAGTTCAGCGTTCCCTTGGCTCTCCAATCAAATTTCCCCTCTTTGCACATTTAGCAACTTTTTTGCGACTGATTTCGGTTGACAAACTTCTGAAAATTGACTCTCATTTTGGCTTTGTTCTCCTGCTGTTGCTTTTTTCTCCTTTTTGTCCTTGTCCTACCAGTGCCCCGTTCCACCCCTCTTCTTTATTCGTTTTCCATGCACATTGTTGCAGAACGACAATTAAAGTCTGATTATTTTGTCGACTACAATTTGCGTGCTGCAATTGCTGTGTGCTGTGTGCCCTTGCCCACCGCGCACCGCGCACCCGCAGCCCTGCTGCCACTGCAGAGCCCTGCTCTTTGCCACATTAGTTGCCTCATCATCATCGTCTTCTGCTGCTGCTTCTACTTCTTCTTCTTTGTTGCCTTCCATAAAAACGGTAAAAGGCCAACGGCCAAGAGAAAAAAACTGAGAAAAAGGCAAGAAAATGAGTAGAGAACCTGCAGAAATGTTGCAGCTGCCACAATTTGCTGCACTTTCCGTTTTATGCGATTCCGTTTCGCGTTTCCACTTTTGCGGCAGGCAGAGGCCAGGCCATCCTGTCGTTTGCTGCAGCTGTAACCGACTGCTGCCCCTTCCGACCGTCTCCCTCGGGAGGAGAGTTACGACGGCGGCGATAAAGATCCAGATTCGCATTCACGATTTGCGCTCAAAATTAGGCCAAAGCAGACAGACAGAGAGACAGAGAGAGAGAGAGAGAGAGAGACAGAGAGATCTTGCAGCATGTGGCATTGCTGGCACAATTAGAGCTTCCTTTTTGGTGCAAAAATCCTGCAGCTCAGATTCTGCGCCATTTCCGGCTCTTCAAAAATGATATAAAATCGAACAGCGCTTATCTCTGTGCTCGATCGTCTAACCAAAATAAAGTCTTATCTTTGGCCAATCTTATCGCCATGGGATCGGGTTTACATTCGGCAAATTTCAATGTTAGAACGACATTTGAATGATTTCTATTCTATGTGCAACTGGCTGCCGCATGGCTCTCTGGCTGTGTGTTTAAGGTTTATGGAACAGCGCGAACAATGATCGCAATTCAGTGCTAAATTTCTTGCTGCCCTGCAAACATTTTTTGTAAATTTGCAAATTAAACACGCACACAGGCAGCCGGACAGGAGGGGTGGACAGAGGGGCTGAACAATGCGTCATTTGGAAAACAAAGTCGTGGCATGGAGTTTGTCCGGGAATGGAGGCAGCAGAAACTATGTAGGTGACAGCTAGGGCTGCTCTCTGCAGAGAGCGCGGAAGCAGAACTAGGCTACAAGTTGCAAATGAAGCCAGCCATGACAGCGCAGCAGGCAGCAGCAGCAGCAGCTAAAGGAAGAAACTAGCAATAATTCTAAATATTTTACAGCAGAAATTTGACTAACGGAATCGAAAGATTTGGCCAACAAAAAGTGCCGTAAAATGTCATTCAGTTTGCTATTTGTCGCACATCCTTTAGCCTTATTAAAAACGCTTTTTCGGAGTAGCAAAACTTTTCCAAATACTAATTAATATTAATTCCCCCCAAACAGCGTGTGGCAGTTGCATGTTTCTCTTATTTCCTACCCCAATCTAACTTCGAGTAGCAGCTCCTTCCGCATCTCTCTCCAATTTGAAACTTGTGCAAATGAAGTGCCTCTGCCACATCCCCTCCACTCCTTGTGCTCTGCTTAAATGTAATATTTTAACATTTTTTGGCGCTTGTTTACAACGAAAGTTGCCTCATATGAGAATTGTTTTCGACAAAAAATAAAAAGATTGCTTGGTAAAATATTTTATTACAATTCTACGGCATTCTCCCCCAGTCCTTCGGGCACTCTGCTCTATTTCTATGTGCAGCGCATAATTATGTTGCAGCTTGTCCAAAAATCCACTGGCAGTCGAAACTTAATGAATAAAATTCCAATTTGGCAGAGTTGTCGGGTGGCATGGGGGGTTGTGTGTGGATATTGCATGACAGCAAAAGGAAACCCTGCAAAAACGGGTTAATGAGCAGGGAGCATACGAGTACATATCTCCCTTTATTTGCAGTTGAATTCGCAATAAACATTGCTGTGTGGAAATTGCATTTCTGCGCGAATTTGCAGAGGGTTGCATTCCCTTGCGAGGACACCTGATAACCTTGACAGGTTCTACCACAAGAAATGCCACAGAAGGGCTACACAATATGACTCTTCCACAAGGGTGAAATTCGTTGCTCATTTGCTAATTTCCCATAAGCGAAAGGTAACTTTCAAGAATGATTTTTGGCACTAACTGACATCCAAACTAATAATTCTTTTTCAATATATATTTTCGATTATTTCTCTCAAATATTTGCTCTTAATTTCCTCATTTTTCCCAAAGTTTCTTAAGTCAAAAATGGAATCAAAGCTTAAATCCAATTAAAATGAAATTTCTTATCCGAGAGCAAAGAAAAAAGCAAGCCAGAAATATCTTGTTAAATATCACAAGCTCATGGGTTAATTTGGTTCTGCTTTTCACTCTCTCCACCTCTCCCTCTCGCTCTCCCTCTCTGACTGTCTTTATGTCACGTGTAAATTGAGTTGTGCCCCCCGGCTGGGGGTGTGGCAGGTGTGTGTGGATGAAATGAAACGTGCTAGGCGGCACAATGAAGCCATGCAAAGGAGGAGACGGCAAGTACTTATGCCACAGCACTGACTGCCACTCCATGCCACAACCTACACGCTTTGCCTGCTGTGTGTGTGTTGAGATTTACGAGTTTGTCATACATATGCCCCTCTGCCCATTCCTGCCTCAAAGTCACGCACGTTACTGTGTTAATGGCAGAAGGGAAAGTGGCAGTGGGAGTGCTTGGGTGGGTGTCCTTTTGCTGCTTGTTTATTTTTTGTTTTTCTCTAGGTCAAAGCCTTAATTTGCCTGCGTGTCCTTTGCACGCCTCGTCCTACCTGTGCGCGCTTTTCCTTGCCCTGCCAGCCAATTTTTCGTGTGTGTTTATGAATGAATGAAAATGTGAAGCAAAAATGCAAACAATATGTAAGCGATAGGCGTGTATGCGCGTTGCGTCTGTGAGGGTGTTATAAATACATCTAAATATAGAATGTTTTCGCTAATTCATTGGGGGTAATCGCATCATCATCATCCTCAATGGCTGCACTGCAGAAGGAGTCATAAAAGATGCAGCGCGGCCAGTTGGCGGCACATGTGCGGCCGACAAATTGCCTGAGAGAGAGAGAGGTTCTGGCGGCGCATCTGCAAGATACATTTAGCTTTTAGCTCGTCGTTGAACTTGAACTTCTTGGCTGTCGCTCTTGCTCCTCTCTCTCTCTCTCTCTCACTCTGCCGCAATTTGTTTGCTTTTATTATTTGGACTTGCCCTTTGCTGGATGCGAGGCATGGAGACTTTTCAAAGGTGTTTGCTACAGCAGAGAGGAAGGAATCTAACAGGCTGGAGCGTGACTATCCCAAAAGAGAGTTACTTCAAATTTCTACTTTAGCTTCGATTAAAATTTAATTTTTCCTTTTCTTAAATTGGTTTCTTGAACTTTTCTTATCTGCTCCATCCACAAGAGTATCCGCACTTTCGCTACCCCCCAAGCTGCTCTTTCTTTCTGTCTTCTCTTCTCTTCTCTTCTCTCTTTTTTTGTGCCTTTAAATTCCAGTTGCTGGCCTCTGGGCGTGGTGGGCCTTCTACTCATCCAAAGGGGTGGGGTCTGGGTGGCGTTTTCTTTACTTTTCGCTTTCGCTTTTGGACATCTTCTTCGCTTCTTTATTGTGTGCTTCACTGTTGTTGCTTCGTTTCTTGCGTTCTTTGAGAGTTTATTGTGTTTTTTTTGCTTACTTTTTTTGGCGCTTCTGTTTTGAGCGCGCCAAAAAGAAGCCGCTCTTGACAGAGGCAGAAACTGAGACTGCGGCCGGTACGCACGTTACTGTTAGGCTGGCCCTGAGTATCTGTATCTTTGCCAGCCCGCATATCTGTGTGTGCCTTTGTGTGTTTTTATTTGTTGCCTTCACGTTCGCGGCACGTTTTTTGGTGCTCCCTGGGAATGGCATAACTCAAGAACAACTTCGCGCAACTCTTCAAATTCGTAGCTGGAGTCGAGGAGTCGGGGAACTGCTTTTTAATTTAAGTTTGAGCTGAAGCTGAAGCTGAAGCTGCCACAGCTACAGATGGCAGCAACAGCACTCTGTGTGTCTCTGTCATTACTCATTTCCAACTGTATCTGTGTCAACTTTTTGCGCCCCCTAAAACTTTATTATTATTATTATTTGATGTTTTATATTTTTGCTGCCCATTTTACTGTTTGTTTTGCTTGCAGTTTTTGTCTCGTAAAGCCACTGGAAAGCGGCTGTTTAGGCGGCAAGTGCCCCATGCGCCCTTCCTTATTATTATTGCAATTTGATCCTCGGATGAGCAATAACCAAATTAAAGCTGTAGCAACAATTGTGCCTTATCTCTGTGTGGATTACGATTATCTATTTCCTGTGGGGATTTGTGTGTATTATTTGAACACTTTTTAAGCAGAGATTTGCAGCTGCAAGTCCCTCAGATATTGTAACAACCTAAACACTTTTTTTCACACGCCGAGGGAGCATTTTTATGCCTCATAGAAATATGAGTAGGAATGTCTTTAAATATAACAATAAATCCCTGTACAAACCGTTGTTTTAATCCATTTTCGTACGAGTTTCCTATAGCAAAACGTTGACTGGTGTTTGGAGACTTGAAGACTGAAGTAATTACGGAGCTATTGGCAGAGTCCAGTGCAGTTTTCGCGAAGAAGCCGACGCGGTAGGGTAGAGTTAAGACGCGACACGAAAACGAAAGTAACGGAGAGGGGAGAGGGCAAAAGAAACTCGCGACAAACGGAAAGATGCAAAGAACAGAAATCCTTTTGGTTGTTGTTTTTTTGCACTGGTCACAAATAAAATATTTTAAAACTGGGACAAGTTATGCCAGGGGGCAGGAAGTGGAGGAGAAGTCCTTAAGCGCGTGATCACATCCACCAGATCCATTAATATTTGCACTTTTTGTTTTATGTTTTATTTGTGTTGGGGCTGGGGCTGGGGCTGGGCAAAAACTAAACACTAAACAACACTAAATTTATATATTTTTTTTGTTTTTGTTTTTGTTTTTTAGTAGCGCGCTTAAAAACAGCGGCGGCGACGGTGCAAAAAGTTCCGCGCGTGTTTTGTAAGGGAAACTTTTCAAAAGGACACGCAACCCGCGCTGCTCGAATGTTGAAGGCCGTTTAGTCGAACATGTTTAATCACGTTCGTGGCGCAAGGACGTTCAATTCAAATATGCCCGCCCTCAAAAGTTGCTCGGAAATTGAAAATGTTGCTCGGCAACATGTGGCTGAGCAAACATGCTGCACGTGAGACTATGCAGAGGTGTGGACAAGAGACAATATGTAGACGTAAAATGCAACACAGGCAAAGCAAAATCCACCCCAATTTCGTATGTTGCTTGATTTTTGTATGCATTCACAGCATATTGTTGATCAAACACGCTGAGGTGGGGTGCTGGTGTCTTTGAAATGTTGCTGGTAAAACAGTTTCTCGCTGTCCATACCCTGCCATGACCTGGGAAAGAGCGCGTTTATGCTCATGTTTGCGTTTCCAGTATGAGTTTGAGTTCGAGTTGCGTGTTTGAGTTCGATGGTCCTGTTTCACACACACACATGCTGATATTTACAGCTGCATCTCGCTCTTTCGTTAACACACACACACACATACAGATTTGAAGTGCGCTTTTGTTGTTGTTGCTGCTGTACAGTTGTTGTTCCAATTAAAAATTTTTTTCCCTAGTTTCGCGCGCACAATACGAACTTGCAATCCATGTGCATGTCCATGTGTGTGTGTGTGTGCGTGCGTTCTGGTGGGGCAGCACCGTTATTTAGTTGTAGCTGGACGCAGGACCTTGTGTGCATGTATGGCTGTGTACTCTTTGCTGCGTGTCTGTGTGTGCCATATCCTGGCAATGCACTGGCTGCCGCTGCTGCTGTTGCGGGATTTTGGTACAATTTGCCTTCTATTTTGTTTTTATTTTGCCTCACTCTTTGTATGCCCTGCCGGAGCATTGGGCATTGCAGGATGTGCAATGAACGGAATTATAGGTCGAAAACTATTGGCAGATCCACAGATTCTCCTTTGATGGCAGATTATAAAAGGAAACCCATCGAAATTCAAATTGTTCTTCCAATCAAACTGCCGTAAACTCCACTTCTTACAGTTCCCATAGTATGTTATGCTGCTGCTGATAGTGCATATACCCATTGAACCCCTTAAGCTATCCTTCCTTGCTCCTGTTCTCTTTCTCTTGCTCCTTCCGTTTTGTTTGCAAAGAGTTGAGCGGCAAAGTCGGGCATGGCGCATGAAGGGGGCTCTGGTGCTGGCTGGCTGGCTGGCTGACTGCCTCTATATGTCAGTTGATTTCATTTCACTTTTTTTCCTGGCTCTGGTTCTTTTTTTGCGCCATTTTCAACCTCGTTTCATGCCAACTATTAGTGGAGCTTTGTGCCCTGTTCACTCAACTCAATCCGAGTCGTGGCGAGGCGAGGCGAGGCACTGGCCAGGACACTGCTCGGCAGCGCATTTTGTGTTGCTGGTTGCTTTGGAGGGTGGAGTATGGGATGCGAAGCCTTTTGATGCCCGTTGCACGTGGATGCGGCAATGTGGCAGCAGCGAAATAGCGTTGAAAAACCTTGACAGTTGCATTGTCCTGGCGCTGACAGGCCGCTGAATGTCTGCGCGTCGCCTATTTGCATTGCGTAATGGAATACGAACTCAGGATGTGCCATGCCATGCCATGCCATCCATATCCATTTCCCAACCCTTAGACAGGCGAACACTGACCTGTCCTATGCGTTTCTCAGACAAACGAAAAATCACACGAGGCACAAGGCGTACAGCTACAAAGATACAGATAAAACCCTGGGGGGTGGGCAGGGGCAAGGGAAGACGTTTGCCATGCGGAACATCTGCACAAACAAAGATGCAGCCGGCTGGCCAGGCCAGGCCATTTGGTCATTGATTTGAAAACTTTTTAGTGCAAGTTGCAGACCGCCAAAGTTATAGATTTACTCGTTGGAACCTAGAGAGAACACGTTCTGGAGTTGGTTTTTTGCTGCTCTCTTTCCTTTGCTGTCTGCGTGTCCTTCGTGCGGACAGCAAAGGACATTCACATTGCATACAAAGGAAACCAGAAATGTATCTGACAGTTGCGCTGCAGTTCACGTACACATTTGAAAAATGAAAGAAATGCGCACGCAAAAATAAGATACAAAAAATATAATAATAATAAAATAAGTTAACAAAGTGAGAAAGCTAGGAAAACGAATAGTTGATGCACTTTAGGAGGTTCAGGAATTGTTCTGCCAACGGAAGGACATGGTGAGGGAATACCAAAGTATTGCTACGAAAGGATGAGATAAGAAACTGTCGAGGTGCTAAAACCTCTACCTGATCTAATTGGTCGTAGATTAGAGAACAAGCATTTTCCTATTGTACGAGCAATAGCCGCTATGGCAGATATTTTATTCGTTAATTTTTGCTCTTTAAAATATATCTTTCCATAAGGAATGTGCCCAAAAGTCAGCCCAACATTCTGATCAAGCTAATGCACTCCTGCTTGCTCGATGCAAAGGCAGAACAGGAACAACACTTTACCGCAAGGGCAAAATGCCATGAGCGAGTGAAATTCTCGCGTTCAAGTTGAATGCACCACGAGGAGAAGTTGGTTACAGCCAAAGGACTATCACTATCCTGTCCTATCCTATACTGTCTCTCCTTCTGCTTCTGCTGCTTCCTTCTCCACTACTTATTTTAATTTATTTTATTCTGCATAAGATCTGCCAGTTGGCAGCTTCCAAAGTGAGAGGCAGCGAGCACTCCATGGCAGGCATCAGCATCAGGCGACCAGAGTTGTCGGCATCTCCATATCCCTGCCCTTACCCCCATTACCATCATTTTTGGATCTCTCTGGAGCAGCAAAATGCACGTAATACGAGAGTAAAGCAAGCCAAATGCATTAACAGCCAGGCAGCAGGAAAGAGAGGGGAAGCATAAGAGGGATATAGAAAGAGAGAGACTAATACACTCACATATTTATATTTGTGCCATTACAGCCCTCGCTGCTCTTGCAGTTTTTGTTGTTGTAGTTGTTTTTGCTGCTGCTGACTGGCTGTCGCTCTTGTACGAGTTTTGAGTTTTCCGAAATCATGAAAGGAGCAGATGTTAAATTTTTATACACGACGAACGCAGCAAAGGAAACAACAGCAAAAGGCAGAACCAGCAGCGGCAGCGGCAGGGCAGCGTTAAAGCATCAGCAGCAACGTTAAAGCAGCGCTGCTTTTTCTTCTTCCTTTTACTCTCCTGGCTACACTGCATTATTATGATACCCTGCAAAGAGAGAGAAAATAAGATATTATTGTTTTCCCTGTAGGTTTGAAACTTGCGTAGGAAAGTTATGGATTTTCTTGTTTGGCTGGATGGTGAATTAAAAATTCTAACTATTAGAAGTATACATAAAAATATATAAATAAAAATAAGTCCAGCTTCATAACAAAACGATCGCCTCCTAGCACAAACAGTAACCAATCCGCCTGCCAGGGTATCTCATGCGCGACCCCATGTTCGACTCAAACCGTTCTTGTTGCTCTCTGCTGCTGCTGCTGCTCTTCCTCTCACACTTACTCATCATATATGGGTTGTTGGTTGCCAGGCAGCCGCTGCGCTGCTTTTGCTTGCCGTTGCTGTTGTTGCTGCCGTTCGCTCTGCCAGAAACTTCAGCTGCTCCTCGACGACGGCTTGCAGCAAGACCGAGCGAGACAGCAAGAGCTAGGAGCTGGACATTGACCGTTGTTCTTGTTGCTTGTCCTTAGAGCGAGCTTTGCAAAACGCTTTTCAAATGGTACAAATGCATGTGCATAGCAACATGAATACATACATTTATGTAGATATGTATACACATATCCCTGTGCATATTCCGGTCAACATTTCATATGCTCCAGTGAATTTTAATTGTAACAATTTCCATTTCTATTTGCTTCCTTTTCTATTTGCTGCTGATTTATTGTATGAAGGGAATATTCCTACCTGATTTGTCAAATGTCGTGTCGTTGTTGTACCTGGTACTGCGTATTGGGAACAATAGTTTCCCATTTCGCCTCGTGATGCTAATCATTGCTAAAACTCTATACAAAACAATACAGGGATGTGTGTGCCTGTGCCTGTTCCTGTGCCTCTCCCTCCCCATCAGCAGAGACTCAGCGCGAGAGCGAGAGAACAAATTAACCCTCAACACAGTCATGGGGTGAAGGGCATAGCCAGAGCCATGGCATGGATAGGGAGGGGGTCGGTCGATCCGTTCCGACTGTTCACTCACTTGGCATGGGCAATAGGTTTCGGGCAAAATGCATTTTCACATTTCCACAACAGGTACCAAAAACGGGGGAAAAAAAAACAATTTGCAGCAGGCTGGAGCTACGGAGCTGAGGCTGTTGCACCTTTGATTTTAATTGGGATTTTTGGGCCATGGGCGGCAAGTCAATGCAAATACAAAGTTTGATACATCAATATTATTTCTAGTATTTTTTCTTTATTTTTACAAGCATCGTAACCACTGGGAATGGACAGGGACAGATGACAGACAGACACTCGCTTTAAGCTTAGGGCTTGCATATGAAATAACTGCGTACATTTACATATGTTTACATACATACGTGTATATACATCTACTTATGTATCTACACATCTCTGGTTATGTTTTAACTCCCAAAGGGGTTGGACATTCTCATTGTATCTAAATGTGGCAAAAGGCATTAAATAAAAGCAAAAACTTTACTGAAAGACATGCCATACCAGCACAGAGCGTAAGCTTAATAAATCTGCTAAAATCATGCGAAACTTTACAATTAATATTCATCCTTATGGGTACAGTCCTTGGGATGTTTCTTGCATTGTACATGCAAGTGCTCAACAGCTATCCAGCTGCTTCCTTCCGGCTTTCAATCTCTCAAATGCGTAAACATCGTAACAGCATGGGTCATCAATACATCCATTTCATATTCACGGACATATCCACGCAGCGCATCCCTTGGCCCGGACACTCACGCACACACAGTCCCAATGTGGGGCCCCTTTTTTCGAAAGCCGCGCTTCGTGCGCGTGACACCTGATGTTATTTTACGATTATTGTTTCTGGATTTATGGAACGCAATTGCATTTGCAGCAGCCAGTGGCCACTGGCCAGTGGCAGGTGCAGCTCCTCCACACACTCGCATCTCTCTCGTTTTTGTTTTGTTGCAGCAAAAACCGAAAATAATTAAGAGTGGGGGGTCTTTACCTTTGGGTGCCGGCGCATTGATATTCATAGCTGGCAAATGGAAAACTACATTAATTAGAAAACCACAAAATCCGATGTGCCCCTGGGCCCCGGACCCTAAATCATGTTTGTGCTGTGCAAATATTCACTTTGATAATTAAATGTTGTGGATACCCTTACAATAAAAACTTCTTTGCTTAGTTTTGAAATAATTTTTTATTAAGCCCCCCGCACAGGCAAAACATTTCGTTTGTCCCTAAAACTTGAAGAAAAGATCATCTGGAAGCATTATTATATTTGATAGATTTATCCGAGAGCATAGATAATGGATGGTTGGGCTCGTCTCACAGGGTAACAAGGACTTATTCCTACTACAATAATTCAAAATAGAATCCAATTATCGTTCTCTCTCTTTCGATGTTTTTTCTTCTCCATTTTTAAATTATAATTTCTAAAAGCTACAGCTATACGTGTGTTGTGTGTGTGTGTGTGTGTGTGTGTGTATGAGAGTGTGTGTTTGTTTTGTATACAACATTTTCAGATATCAATTATGAATTTTGCAATAATTATTTTCAAATCGTTTTCAGGCATCCTTGCCTGTCCTTTATCCGCGGTTTGTGGCGCTCTTCCTGCCACTGGTCCTGTGCGCAATCCTGGCTTAATTGGCAGCTATCGTGCAGACACAGCAACTGGGAAACCAGAACGTGTCCGTGTACAGATTCTGCCCGTTGCCCTGGAGCGCAATTAAACGTTTCTGCACAAACTTTTGCTCGCATCTCGAGTTGTAGCCATTGGGCAGCTCGCACAGGTTGGAGCAGGTGTTCGAGCTGCAAAAAAACAAACAAGAAAACAAAAGAAAACAGTCCAAAAAGGGAAGAGAGAGAGAGAGAGAGAGAGGGAGAGAGAGTAGCAGTAAAGTACAGTAAATACGAGAAGAGATGTTAACAAAAAATCAACAATTGTACGAAATTTAGTTGTGGGTTGCGACCATAAATATTGCGAAAAAGAGCAGCGGCTGGGACTGCCTCCTCCTTGGCGGTGCCAGAGCGTCAGAGTTGAAAGTTTAACGAACTCGTTAAAACGGGAAATCGTACGTAATTGATAAGGAGCATCATCCCGAAGGAGCAGCCAAGGCAACGGGCACTTTTGCTTGCCCAATCCCAAGCCCTAGCCCGGAACCATAAGGCAGGCAGCTGTGTGCCTTTTCCTGTTGTTCTTTGGCCAAGATTTATGCGCGCCTGCGTAGGTACTCAATTTGGTTAAACAAATTGCGCCAAGGGCCACAACAAGTGGCAGCAAAGCAAAGCGGGGGTTAGGGTTAGAAAGAACAATTAGGGCAAACGACAGACCATATTGACCCCAGACCAGACCGAAGGCAGACCCAGATCCACGGGTTCGCTCGCATCACCCTAGTTTCACTCACACTTTGTTTGCGCTTTTTAATTCGAGTGTGGAAAGGTTTTTCTAGTGCCGCACGCATCCAAAAAGGGGAAGAAATTCTGTGTGCTAAAGGGTAGGGGCAGCAGCGGCAAAGGGGACCCGCGGCCCAATGGAATCTTGTGCCCTGCTTTGGCATTTCCATTCGTTCGGCTTCTGGGGTGTGATAATTCGTTTAACCGCAATTATGACACCTTAGTCCGGACCTGCACTAACCCACGTGCCCAGCCCAGAAAAAAAGAGAGAAAGAGAGGGAGAGGGAGAGCGAGAGCAGTTAGAGACTTCCCCTAAGAAGGGGTACCGTTTTATTTTGTTTTTGAGTCATCGCTGTCCTGCTGCGAGTGGTTTGGAGAGGGTTGTCCCAACACCTCGAAACTGATTAAAAGTGTAAAACGGAAAGGGGGAGAAATGCGATAGAAGGACGGACTGCACGGAATCAAACAGAACGGAACGGAACGGAACGAATCATTATGCAATAATGAGCGGCAATTGCAAAACTGTATGGATGCACGGATGAACGGACGAATGAACAGGTCGCACCATTTATAGAGAGAATTAATAGGGACAACTAAAGAGGAAAAGTCTACAATGCTCAAGACCGAGCAGAAGGCAATGCTTGATGCATCTAATCACAATATACATTGTTCTAAAGTTCCTTATTGCTTGAGCTGGTGCTGCTGGTAGCTCAAAAACGGACCCATCAGCATTTCCTTGCATTTTCCCTAAAGGTCTAGGGAATTGGGTTGCCTTGCCGCCAAATTCAAATACATACTCTCTACATACATTTTTACATTCTGCCTGGCAGGTTCGTGTCTTGGCTAAGTGCTGTCCAAAGCAGTGCACTGCTTGTACCATGAAGCAGTTGCAGGGGAGTTTCTCGGTTGGTTTGAAAAGTGACTCTAGGACAGCTCCAACAACAAACAAAACTGATCCCACAGGTCCACACTAGCTTCAACATATTTATGAATAAATATTTTTACATATTTCTGGCACATTTCAGTTTTGATTAAATCAAAAGTCTGCTCTCTGTGAGTCACCTCATCGGATTGTAGTCATAGACTTAGGGGCCCCATGGAATGTTGTTGGGTTTGAAATTGCCGGCACGTTTATGGAATATGTTTTATGGCACGCACTTTTTATTGACGCATGTCCGGAGGCCGGTAACGGTGAAAATTTTAATGACAAAAAAAGCCGGCCCTACCCATTTGCTTTTGGGGAAATATTTTGGGAAATTTCGAAAAGTGCGAAACAAAAACCTAAAAACTAATATAATGCTGATATTTCTTTATAATTCTAATGAGATTTTAGTGGGAAATAAAGTCTAGAATACTGCATGAAAACTCTGAGATAAAGGTTAAACTTTGAAGCTAGCAATTCCTGACCCAAAACTTTATTTTCGGACAAGCTAAATTTCGTTGCTTTCCCTCTGATCTTCCATCAATCGATGGCCAAGCTATAGTTAACCCCTTCAGGCATTTGTTATTATTATTTCCACTTACGCGCACAGCTCCGCTTTGACCATTTGTCGAGCGGTGTTCTGCTCATTGACCACAAACATCCAGTTGCCGCGACTATTGAGTGCGGCCTGTGGGGTAATAAACTGCGAGGTGGTCTGGCAGAGGGTGGAGCGGCCGGGACTTTGACGCTTGGTGCGTGAGCGTTTCTTTGAGGGATTTGCGGCGACACCCACAATATCTAAGAGATCCATGTTGAGCGAGACATCGCGTTTCAGTTGATGGTGCGCCGGCTCCAGTTGCTCCTCCTTTGGCTGCTTCTCCTTCTCCTCCTCCTTCTCCTGCAGCTTTTGCTCTTTCTTGCCTGCCTGCTCCTGCTCCTCTGTGGCTTCCTCTTTCTGCTTGCGGCTTAGATCCCGCACCAAACGCTTTAGCCACAACGTGGCATTGTATGGCGTCGTCTTGCCTGCCTGATTGAAGTACAGCTGACCCGGGGAACCAGAACCCGCCTGATGATTGTAGCGATGTCCCGCACGATGAGCGCCACCGCCCGAAGAGGTGTACAGCAGATACCTAAGGAGGAAGCAGAGATTTCTGTACAATTTTCGGTAAGGATTTCTTGATTTACTCACGTTGGTGCCGCCTCCGTTGTGGGACTGCTGGCAAAGAGCGAATTGCCACCATTGACCCTTTGGGCAGTGCCCCCAAATGGCGTCTGGTAGTTGTAGCCATTGAAGTCCTGTGCATTGGGATCGCGCGATGGAAATATGGACTTGGGATCATAGAAGACGGGCGTCTCGTACCACGCAACGGCAGCAAAGTCCTCCCAAGTCTCGTCCACCAGCAGCGTGCCGGCCTCATAGCCCCATTTGCGAACGAGACTTTTGATTAGATAGCTGCGAGAAGAGAGAGAGAGAGATTGAAAACAATGGAAAGATGGGGGGCTGCAACATGCAACAATCAAGCAGAGACTGGGAAAGCCCCAGACTCGGGCTTATGCAAGTCACACACAAAGAAATAATAAATTGGCAGGGTGCCCCACTAGCAAGGTGCAACCAACGCATGCGCGTCACGTGCCACGCAGTGACTCCGCGAAGAAAGGCAAGGCTAAGGCCTGGGCTAGACCCCCGCAACTGCAAGCTGAAAACTCGCTTGGGGTTTTTGTGTGTTTTTGTTGGAAAATTATGCAACGGCATTCCACTGCAAGGGCCTGCAATAAAAATGCCTATTTAATTGCTGCATCGGCGCCAGGCCCGAGCGGGGGCTTATCAATGTGGCATTAACATTACACCCGACTAACGCACATTTTATTTAAATTTAAATCTGTGCACCAAAGAAATGCTCTAAAAATAGCAACGAACAAACATGGCAACGGGCAACCAGTCGCAGAAAAAAACAAAACCTCAAATCATTTGGTTTTCCACAAACTTCCACAAAGACAAAAGATTTGCGCTTAGCGTTGAATGGGGAATAGGGAATGCTCTTTGGTAGATTAAAATAAATATTGAACATTCGATTTAAACATTTATGAACTTTAGATTTGCTCACAGAGTGTTCTATTTTATTTGGATATTTCATTTAAATTTTGATCTGTTTCTGTCTGTTAATTCAACTTTAAGCCATTAAAAATATATCCAAAAATCCATTTAAACTTATTCCTTCTGTGTTTCTATATGCTGCAGTTCGTAAAGCTGAGTTGTATCTAGTTGAAATCATCTCAAAGTCTGATCTGACAAACCCCTAAACACATTCAAAACACCCTGCCCTGCCCTGGCGAGCCAAGTGCCGGTTAGTGTCAAGCAGAGAGTAAGCTTATGAGCGCTGCCCAAAAAAGAGACGATTATTCATTGGACGCATTCATAAATATTCGAGAAGCACGCGGGCGACTCTTCGTCGTTGTCGTCTCCAAATGTTGTAGAAGCGAACACGCAGCCCGAGCCAAACAAAAAGTGTCTTGAACTGTCAATTCAAGTTTATTGGGTCAAGGAGTTCCCCCAGAGCAGCATCATCATCGGAGAGCAGCAGCAGCTCACGTCTGCGGAAGCAGCAGCCAGCCAGCAGCCAGCAGCCAGCAGCCAACAATAGAGGCAGGCAGGCGGCACTCGTACGAGTCGGTCGGTATGCTAATTGGTTGCCCAGGCCAGGCCAGAGCAGGCCCGAGGAACGAGTTTTGATTTCGTTAGCGAATTCAAATTGAAATTGAAATTGTCTCGTGGCCAAACATTTGTTTGAAATGCATTTGAATAAAGTGGCCAGGCGGATGTTTGCTCAGCTCTTCAAGAGATTTATCTGCCCCACAAGATTGCATTTTAGTCAAGCATTGAGAGCGCTTTTCGTTCATAAATTTGAGGATTTAATTGCATTGGCTTGTTTGGGGGCAGCTGCTAAAGAGATTTGTGGTCATCATCCAACTTACGTGGGATAATTATCGACATGCTCGCAGTATGTCTTCCCGGGCCGGGCACAGGCGGGCGTCTGTCCGGGCGGTGCCGGTAGAAATTGGCAAGGCGGCGCTCCATACAAACCGCATGGCGGTGGCGAGCTGTGGGCTGCTGCACTACAAGCTAATATCTGTAAAGGCAAATCAAATATTTAGATGGGAGTTGGTAAAGTCTTGGAGTTATACTCACCACAAAGGCGAAGAAAATTCGATTACAACTAGAAGTGCGCAGACATTTAATACTCTTGGTCATTGTCGATTCATTCGTCGTCGATTTGCATTTGCATTCGAGTCGTTGAGTCTTCGCTGAGTCTCGGCCGCTGGCAGGAGCGTGATGTCAATCTGTTAGCGAAAGAGAAACTGCGATTTTGCTCACAAATATTAATCACATTCGCCAAAAGGGCAGTCAAGGCGGTAGGGGGAAAACAATGGTGCAAACAAGACGGAAAATGGTAAATTTCCACACCATTTGCTGGCCGCAGAGTTTGTTTAACATGGCTTAAGTGTCTGCAGCCTCTGCCCCCATGCAAGTGCTAATTTGTTGGCTCACCGACTGTGTATTTGTCGTGTTTAACAATCCGTAACAGAGACAATAACTTCAACAACAGGCATTACAACACATTCAAACACTCCAACAACAGCACAACAACAGGCAATTACAACAGCCCCAAGACAAGAAGGAGTTTAACAGCAACCTTAAGCAACTCTAACAAGAATCACAACCAGATTTCCAGCAACAAATCGCACAAAAATCCACTTCAACCACCACTCCAGCTCAAAGTTCAACAACAATCACTACAACATCTGAAACAACTGCCGCAAATAGCGAAAAATTAGTTACCATAAGTGAAAGTGACAAAGCAAGCGGCTACTACTCATGGAGGCTGTCATCGTAGAGCGGAGATTAAGTATACGTAGATTAAGTGTACGACACGCCCACACACACACCCACCGACCCATTGTGATTCGTGTGGCAACCGACAATCAACCGTAAGCTGACAGATAATGTCAGTATTTATAAACATTAATGAATTATTAGAGCTTGGTGCAAAAACTATAATTTTTCCAGAACATTCTGTGATAAATGATTTGTGTTTCTTTTTTCGCTTAATTAACTAATTAAAAATTACACAAAAAAGCAAACGCAATTGCTGTGGCTAAAAATACCACAGAATATTGTGTAAAAGTAATTAGAATTGTCCGTACAAAAAATAACAAGTGCTCAAATCAAGAGTAAAGGTATAAAAAAAGGCAGACACAGAACCACACACGCGAAACCGGATTTCGTGTCTGGTAAAAATGAAGTGTAACACAATTAAAATATGGAATAAATAGCAAGCCATAAACCAACATGGAGGCATGTGTCATGTGGTGTGACAGCAAACAAATAGAAATTCGTAGGAATTTATGCCACCAGACATAGGATTTCCGGGATTGCCAGGCCACTAGACAAGCCTCAGGTCTCAGTCGAAACAAATCAATCAACAATCGACGAACATCAATGACAAAAGTGTCAGCCTCAAGCTACAAAGCTTTTGTGTTCAGAAATCTTTGGGAACTGCTAATGGAGTCCGGGCACCCACCCACACTCACGCCTCAGCTCTTTGTGGCCAAAGAGTTGCGTCAAGCGCTCACCTCATAAATCATAAAATGGCCCAAAAGAAGTTGTTTGGCCTGAAAAGACAAGACAAGAGATCAGCGCTCAACTCTTGGGGTGATTTTTTTATGGTATGTTTTGGGCCATTTGCACATCATTAGGCCAGTCGCACAGGTTAATGAAATTGTTAAAGATCAGTCAGAGCTCCCTCTGTCCCTCTGCGGCTCTGAGCCACTAATACATTTGCTGTGCGCACGTTTTGGCCCTGCCTTTGCTTTGTGTTCCACTCAATTTATTTCCATGATTTGGCTCGTGAGCCCCGGAGAGCATTTATAACTAAAGTTAATTGATTTGCCTTGCGCCAGACTAATGATCGATTGTCGGGCTCTTAATCTTTGACTCGTGCAAAAATTGGTAGACAGAATTGGCTAGAGAACAGATTCGTACTTAAGAGGGGAAACTAGCAGAGATTCTCGAACATTTTATCATTCAATTAAAGCTGATTTGATGGAGTATTAATGTTCCACAATTTGTTGTCTTAAAACCACAAGCAAAGCATTTAAAAGGGATTTTATTCACGTTAATTGATGCCTTGAGGGTTTAAATGGTTTAAGTTGGAGTCTAATGAACCAAAAGAACTGCTCCTTCATGAGTGGTTTCAGGGCTTTGAAACGAATTTTTCCACACTGAATCTTAAGAGCAAGTTTTTTGTACACTTTCAGAGCTAGTTAGAGGATCTTAAGCAGCGATGTGGAATGAAGTTCAAGACTTTATATGTGTAATAAACCTCTTAACAGCTGTCTAGTTACTAGAAATATTCCAAAGATCTGAAATTGAAGCACATACTGAAGGGCAACTATCGAAGAATAACAAACAGAATTAAACCAAACTTCGCTCTAAAAATGTCTTCACTTTGAGGAACACATTCAAGACAATAATCCTATAATATTAATAATAAAGTTGAACCAATTTGAGTTATGCAAAGACAGCCAAAAAACCTCAATGCCATTTTTAAATCCATTTCATTGAATTATTGATCTTGGAGTTGGTAATCGAAGTATTTAGGAATGAGCATGGGAATGGGAAAGGCATGCGATCGATGCCGAAAATGCCGACACGTGAAGGCGGAGAAGGTTCTCTTGGGGCTAAAGAGACTAGCCTCATGCAGACTCAATTTCATGCTAAAAAGAGAATCTTTTACTGAAAAATTTCCAACAGAAATAAATGAAATATTCCAATTTATAAAACATGTATCGGCATGCATTTGATGCCTGCGTTTAACTGAGAAATTAAGCACGACTTTTCAAGGTTTCTCTTCTGTTCATTTTTTTGTGGATTTGTGTGTTGATTTTGATTTTGATTTGATTTTTTGTGTGGAGTTTCTTAATTTTGTTGTTCGTTTGCGTTACATGTGCAGCAGCAGCAGCAGCAGCAAATAAAATATAATAAAAAAACAGCAAACAAAAAATGTGTGTTATAATAAATCAATGTTTGAGTTTGCTGTTGTTGGGAGGGACGGGCACTTAAATTATTCGCATTATTAATTACTCACCCGGGTAATTATAATACTAGATAATCGGCAGAAAACACACAAACACAACAAATGATATTTGTTTTTTTTTGGGATTTCTCCACAAATATCTTGTTTGAAAACTAAGCAGACTTTTGCTTTGGGATGGATCTTCCAAGTGTTTTGGGTTATTTTTTTGGTCTTGGGATTTATTCACTTCACCGCACAGACATCATCTCCGCTCTCTGCTCTGACATTTAATGCTGGCTTTTGATTTTGTATTTACTTGTATAATTTTCTCTTTTGTTTTGGTTTTGTTTGGGTTTCTGTGTTGGCCACAGATTCACTTGAAAATTCAGCTAATTAAAAAAACTTAACACGTACCGAACGAGCGCAGTATTCGAGAGAGAAGGGGGGCGGCAGGGCAGATGGTTGAAGATTTCAATTTGAATTTTCGGTGTTCGGTTTTTCGGTTGTAGTTTCGATTTCGTATTCGTTTTCCTTTTCCGTAACGCGCTCTAGCCAAGCTCTCGACGGCAGCTCTCGTAGCCAACTGAACGGAGGAGAGGGCCGTCAAGCGCGCACTCTGAGCCAAGCTTAGAGGGCGACTGTGCCCAGGGCAGAGCTAGAGAGACTCTCTCCTCTCCAGAGCGAGCGTAATGCCGGCTAGTGTTAGGACTCGACTGACACTCGACTCCACCTGGGCTAATCTCTCAATTTAGCCGCGCTTCCGAATGTTTTGGTCTCAACTTTGAACTTTCGAGCGAACCGATTCAATGATTCATTTATGTGTGGAATGATGGATTCATTCGCATTGTATTGTCTCTGCTTTTCGTCTCCAATATGTGGCCCGATTCAAGACCGGAAGTCCGATCCCACTTTATTTATGCACAATTTTGTATTGTTTGTTTTACATTGTCGCCAAATTGGATGCGAAACTGCAATAAAGTGAATTTTTTGTTTTCCTGCATTTAAATTGTAAATTTTTTGCTTCTCTCTCGCTCTCCCTCTCCCTCTCCCTCTCTCTCTCTCTGGATTGTTGTTGCTGCTGTTGCTCTTCTGTCCATAGATACAATTCATTGTTTCGATGGTGATTTTCGGTTTTTTATGGCCAATGAAGGTCATTTAACAGCTTTTTATCTGTCTCAGGTTTTTTGTTTTGTTTTTGCTTTGTGATTTTTGCTGCTGCTGCTGGTGGGTTGCTTTTTTTTTTTGCTCTTTTTGCTCTGACAAAGACATTGAGGGGAGATCTCACACACAAATGGACACAGCGCAGACATTCAAGATAGGAAGAAAAAAAAAACGACTTTTAATGGCTCCACGCACAATTGTAGGAGTCAGAGCCGGCAACTCTTGGTTTGGTCTTTGTCTATGTCTATGTCTATGTCTATGTCTGTCTCCCCCTCGATTGGGCATTTCAATCAATTTTGGGCCAAGCCTGTAGAGGGTAGCAAATGGGATGAGCTAGGGCAGATCTTTAAGTATTTTTTGTAACACTAAAACAAACAGCAGCAAATTTAGGCCAAAATTAGAAATAAATTTAATTAAAAACTTGAAATAATTCTTGCAAATTACAGCGCAAGAATCCACAACATTTCTTTAGGTTTTATATTTTATTTAATATTTTTTGGGCATAAACAAAAAAAATGTCCCGCATTGATTTCCAGGGCATCATTTATTCGACTTCCCAGCCCCCAACCATGCACTCACATTATTTATATTTACAATTGATTGCGAATAGGCAGGGGACCATAAAGCAACACAAAAAAAAGAGCTACGGGCATGCGTATGCACCCCCTAAAAAAATATTTCGAGGCGTTTTTGGAATTTAATCTTTTGGTTTTTTTGGCTTTTGGCTTTTGGCTCTTGGGTTTTTAGGTCTTTATTTTTGTTTTTTTGCACAACTTTCACAAAAGGCGACCTAGAGCACGAGAAAAAAGTACGGGAAAACCCTTGACTGAAATCGTTTTCGGCATTCGATCGAACAGCATAGATGGCACGGGACGGGACGGGACGGGTGGAGAGCCAGAGAGCTCTTATCGAAAATGGTTTTTAATGCGTTTTTAAGTCAAATTAGTGACTTCATCAGTCTCCGCGAGTCTGGACACACGTTTCAGGCTCAGATTCCGTTTGAGATTCACTTAAGCTGCTCATTAATCAAAAAAAAAAAGCGAAGAGGCCCCCAATCGGGACCAAAATCGTATTCAATTTTTTGTTTGGAGATACAAAAATACGTAACGTAATCGTAGGGCCACCGGCACTCCTCCACACACTCCCCCCCGACAGTCCCACACACACGCATCACAGGGGCTTAGCTTCAATTACGAAATTGTTAATTAGAGGCTGGGCCCAGACCAGAGTCGATGTCTTGCCTATTGCGTGGTCCATTGGCTAATGAAATTATAAAAAAAAAACACAAAACAAAAGGTTGTTCAAGCCCCATTGAAGCGCTAACTTCTGCCCGTGTGGTAACAGTTGCCTGGGACACACCAATAGTTTTCTTTTAATGGCATTTCTGGGCAAGATCTCCCACAAAGATGGGAGGCAGCTGTTAAAGTCGCGTTGGAAACGCTAGAAAATTGCACGCGATTTCACTGCTTGAACTGCTTGCTGATATGTGGATTGGTTCTGACATTCGCTAAGGGCTGACAAAAGCTGAGCTGATCGTAGGTCAAACAAAAATTAGGAAAATAAAAAGATAATTATAATATATAGAAAATAAATAAAAGAATAAATAAATAAATAGAAAGAATATGGAAAAGAGAGAAAAGAAATATAGAAAATATATTTTTAAAATGTTTACCTAAGAAAAATGTACAAATTTGGAGAAAAAATAAAAAGAAAATAAATTATATATAAAATTTAAAAAATAAAACAGTAATCTGCGCTCACCTATACCCATAATGTTGCAAAGCTGCTTCCTTGTGTTGCGTTTCAGTTGTTTTTGGTTTGCAATTATTTTCCACACACAACAAAAATTGTCACAAAAGATATTTTTGGCACTTTTTCACGTTTTTCCGAGGGGTAAGTTCTCACAGCTAGTAGTAGACAGTTCTCTTTTGGAGTTTCAATTCTCAAAACTAGAACTTTCTATTCGAAACCCTGATTAAAACCATAAAACTATTTCCGCCTTACATATTTTCAGCTGTCCCTGCCCAACATTATTTTCAAGTATTTTTCACAATATTTCGCATTTGGCTGGGCTATCATTTGCCCCACTATAAAGCATTTTCTTTATTATTGCTTAGCCACAACATCCTCGTGTCCTGCTGTCCCAGCTGTCCCGTTGTGCTGTCACTTGAGGCATAATTTATATTCATTGCTGGTCAGCGCTATGAAAGAAAGGAAATCCCACAAAAAAAAAAGGAGCAGGAATTTCGCCTCCTCCCCACACACACACACACACACACACACACACACGCACACATGTCCTTGAGTTAAATGAGTGATAAAAAGCGAAATACAAAAGAATGAGGAGCATATGCTTTAAATTTATGAACCAGGAGAAGGACCCTACTCCTACTCCTTCTGGCCCTGTCTTTGTTCTGCCGTGTTAACTAAATGACCATCAATGCCATGTTCATGTTTGTATTTCTATATTTTTGTGTGTTTGAATTAAATATCCACCACGCGGCGGTTGCAAGCAGTTGAGCGCCGCATCAAACATGTTTGAAACAACCTGAACGGGTTGCATGGCGTCACAGCGAACCAAAAAAGTGCGTAAAATGTTGTTACACTGAACATTGAATTCGGTTTGATGCTTGTTACCTCTCAAGAGGTATCATGGGTTCTTTTTTTTTAGTAGTTTATGGCATCAGGAATATCGGATCGAATTTTCAAAATACAACTTGCGTTTTTTTATAAATCTAATTCATAATAATAAGCATTAAAAACACACAAAAATATCATCGCAGCCATCACACCTGTGCGCTCTGACGCCTGCCCACCCACCACACGCAGCGCCGTCGAACTTCTCCCGCCAAAACAGCTGTTGGAAATCCACCACGACGTCCGAACCAACGCAGAGGCAGCGAAAGCGAAAAGCACCGCCGGAAAAGCGAGCTGCTCCCACGGGGCCCCTCAACAAATGCTCTTTGTCGGTCGGACGTCGTGTGTGTGAGTGTGGTGCCTGCTGCCTGAGTACCGTTTAAAAACTGGACGTGCAACGTCCGTGTTGTAATCGTGCGTCGAGACGCGTACCGTGCTGCGAGGCGTTCGTCAGTCGGTCAGTCAGTCAGTCAGTCCAGACATCAAAATACTATAGAAAACGTAAACGATTGTTGTGGCTTACCTGGAAAGAGAAAAGAATGAAAGAGAAATCAATTAAAAATATAAAAAAACACACACGTCGAATGCGTGTAAGTGCAGGATGAAGAAAGTAAAATGAAACGCGAAAAGAGTCATGCAAAATAATCAAAATTAAAATAACAAAATGCAAAAAGTCATGAAAAGTGTTTCGAAAAATCGTGCAAATATGCCAAAAAGTCAAGGGGGAAATATACAAATTTTAAGCTAAACGAGCAGAATAAATCATGTGCAAGAGGGACAGAGAGAACACAAAAACACAAGGAACAAGACAGAGAGAGAGAGAGAGAGCGAGAGAGAGAGAGAGCGAGAGGAACCCGGAATGCCGAAACGTACAATCTGAAATCTAAATTTCTTGTGACGCGTTCAAAAGTGCAGAAAATTTGGCCATCGCAGTCAATCAATTGATTTTTCTTTTGGCCAAAAAAAAAAAATAAAGCCAAAAGAGGAAGAGAGCGGAGCGGGCAGGGGGAATCTTTCCTGTACATGACTCGGCGGCCTCCGTCTCATCTGTGTGTGTGTGTGTGTGTGTGTGTGCTCTGTCTCGTATCTCCATGGGAATCCTAAGTGGAGCATGGCACATTAATAATGCTGTCGCAGCATTTCAACAATTTGTATCTGGTGTATCTTTGTATCTCTGCAGCTTCACACAGACACGGCCAAAACTAGATAAGCAACAAAACAACACAATAAATGGCCCAAAAACGGAAGCAACCAAAAAAGACCCACCCAAGGAGCCCCAGCCCAGCCTCCCAAATCAAACCAAAAACTAACTTAGACGCCACAAGGGTAGCGCGGGGCCATGATTGACATGGTTCCGCAGGGGCTTTTAGAAAGACAGAGCGAAAGAGAGAGTGAGAGAGAGCGGGGGGAGTGGGGCATTTTGAGATACCGGTTAACTGGCGTCAGACGGAAAAGTCGGCCCCAGAAACAGACGCGGCGTCGCAATAATCATAAAAGCAATAACAAAAGGAAAAGGAAGACCAAGAAATCATAAATTCATGTGTGTGTGTGTGTGTGTGGGTGGTGTGTATTTGCCATATATATTCCTTTATAATTCATTCAGCAGCTGTAATTAAGCCAGTAGTTGCAGTGCCATGAATAATTTGACGGCAACAAACCGCAAGAGAACATGGCCAATTAGGCAAAATAAAACGTTTTACAGGGAAAAGATACGCAAAAGGAAGAGGTTAGGCTCGAATAATTGAATACCTCTTGAACGAATATATATCTTAATGATCATTATTATAATTTAAAGCAGAGTTTTGAGTCATTAATTTGTGTGCTGCAATCCGCAACAAATGAATCCCCTGCCGCTCCAATCAATATGCCCTCGTTCTTAGGGTATTTAAAGCGCACACACAAAGGTGGAGCAGACACGCACACCCAGGACGCCAAAGACTTTGTCACGTTTTTCACTTGACTAAGGTCAAAAGTTGTCTCTCCAATTCCCCTGTGCCAGCACCACCACCCCCCCCCCCCCCCCCCCCCCCCCCCCCCCCCCCCCCCCCCCCCACACACCAATCATCAAGCAAAGTCTGAACTTGATGCTGTCGCTGTCTCGCCGCTGCCTCTGCTCAGCTGCTGCTGCTGCCTGCCGACGCATCGCTGCCGCTGCCGCTGCTGCTGCTGACGAGGCTGCGGTGTCTATTTTTAACAGCAGCGCCGCCCGCACCGAAAAGCATGGCCAATAAGTAATCCGAAAAAAAAGTGAAACAAAAAGATGGATGTGTACACTTACAACTATAAGTATTTGCACAGCCAGTCCAAAAGAGACATTCGCTTTAATTAGACTTTGGAAACTTGAAATCTCACTTTTGGACCAAACGCATCACAAGCGGCAAAAGTTTGTCAAAACTAATTAACTCGCAGCGCTATCAAAGTGTATCAAAGAGAACAAGAAAGTGCTTGTGGGTGAGAGTGTGAGGTGGGTGAGCATCAAAGTGTACAAAAATAAGGTATGGCTGCAGCCCTGCTTGAGTGAGCTTGAGTAGAGGCGCACCTCACCTTCCCACAAGCACACTTTGGGGGTGGATTGAGTGGGTAGAGCGAGAGTGAGTTTGAGAGCAGAGAGTAGGGCAGGCCACAGGCACGCACAACAAACGCAGGGGCACAAAAACAAAACAGCCAAAGAGAGTATGAGTTATCGGAGAGAGAGAGAGAGAGAGAGAGAGAGCGAGGAAGAGTGAGAGTGAAAGCGCTCACTCGTTCGCTCTCTCTCTCTCTCGGCTTCCTTCCAGATTCCAGGGCCTTCCAAAATAACACATTCTCCGTGCCGTACAAAGGATTGTGTAGCTTCGCATTGACATTGGAAGCTTTTTCCCGCTGCCGCTGCTCCTTCAAGTTCTTTTCATTTTTTTTGTTGTTTTGTGGAGTTCTCTGTCGCTGGCAGCGTTCCGTTCGGGCTTTGGAGCTCAGTTCGTGGCTAGACTTTGGAGCGTGTTGTATGGTTGGAAAATATTTCGGTGCGTGAATCAGACATAAAGGAGCTTTTACCCCAACACACATTCTGGCTCTCTGCCACTCTGCCACTCTCTTACTATCTGACACACTGTATTTGCTTTGGGGGCCAAAGAATACGCAATAAAAAATACAAAATAAAATAATAAATACCTATACAGGTGGATGATAATTGTAGATTGAAGTGCCAAAGAGTGCTGAGTGCTGAGTGCTGTGTGTGTTGTGTGTGTGTAGTATTCAGTCGCGGGTGTACCCTGTAAAGTAAGGCGTGTACCGCAAGCACGCATACGCATACGCACGAAAAACACGAAAAAAAGGAGGCAGAAAGAAAGGAAATACCACACCAAAAAAACGAAAGAAGAAAATAAAACAGAGCAAGGCAGACAGAGGGGCTGGCGGCAAAGGGGGGCTGCTACTCCCGAGTCTTATGGGCATTACCATAATGCTAATGCGGCAATGGCATAAAAAGTTTTTCATTTTTGTCGCACTGTGACTTTTGTTTGCTTTGTTCCCAGGGATAACTACTACTTTTTGTTCTTTTCAAAATTCGAAATTCAAATAAAGAAAAAATGCTCCGGAAAACTAAACCAAATTGCTGGCCAATTGCATATATTAAAATTCTTGTGCTTGTTTTCTTACCCACAGCGCGTGTGTTCTCTGTGCAAAGAATAGTGAAATAAAAGTTTCATTTAATTGAAAACAAAATGTGAGCAAAAATATAATAAAACAAAACTTAATACACAAAAAACAAACTTAATCAACGCTTAACTTAGTAAACTATTTATCTAAGCTATAAAAAAACCCTAGAGAGAATCGCACAAGAAAACAAAAATAAAAAACAACAAAAAATCCAAGGAAAACCCGTCCTGTCCTTTCTTCTTTTTTTCCCGTTTAAGTTGGTGAGTATTAAAGGGAGCAAAATGATGCTAATAAAATCGATAATATTTCCACTAATTTACGAGTCAATTAGCGGCGTTTGTAATATCCGACATGCTACTTAGTGAAGGGCTAAAGCCTCTCCCACACTCCCACACTCCCACACTCTCTCTCTCTCTCTCTGTTTGGGAGTTTTTACCCCTCCCCGTCGAAATGTTATCAACCATCATTAACCGAAATTGTGCAAACACATTTCCCTCTTGCTGCTGAGATAACAAATAGAAATATTATAATAATAATACTCATACTCATTCGAGTTGACAGACAACTCTATTGATAAGGCTCTACGAGGGATACTACGCATCCCGGCTGAAACTTTTGTGGATATTTACGAGTGACCATAAAATATACTTTCAGTCCTCATATTGCCTATTGCCTCTCGCAGGTGATAAAATAACAAAAACAACAACACATACAACGACAACAATGTTCCATCCATGCTGCTTAATGGCTCTTGCCAATTTCTAAAGGCGTGGCATCCACAGCAAACCACACGGCAAAAAAAAGAGCAAACAAAAGGGTTTTACGGGGCAGAGTTTGAGGCATTTAAAATGATGTTGGCATAACGAGATAATCGCCGGACATGACAGGGCAGGGCAGGGCAGGGCGCTGTCGAAGGTTGGCTGTTTAGAGGCAAAGGAATTTCAGGTGATTTTGGTTGAATTTTTGGGCATAAAGTTGCTAGTAAAAATGATAGAAATATTGGAGCTAAGTATATTTAACCCTCTTCTAATAATTCCTCAACTGCAATCTCATTGAAAAACGTAAAATAAATGTTAAACTTGCGCTCATCTCTGGCAAAAACTTGCTTACATTTGCATTTGTTTTAGTTTGTTTCTTTTGCTTTTTGGCCAGAGAAATTTCTACCGAAAGTTGTCCATAAATTTGCCTACTTTGCACTTCTTGTTGTTGGCTTTTATTTATCTATTTTTCTCCCCCTTCCTTGCCAGAGATCTATGAATGGCCCGTTGCTGTGGCTATAAATACTGTAAAGGCGGCAGAATGACATTTTTATTGCAATTCCGAAAAAGACACTTTAAGAGGCGAAAAAAATGAATGAAAATTAATGGAAATTAGATGAGGAGCTTCTGCCTCAATGCTGACATTGATGAAACAATTTTCCTCTTGGTGCTGCCAAGTTTTTTCCAGAAACAGGACACAAGTTGTGGCAACTGCTGAAGCGTCTACTTGGGCCATTAAAGTTGTTAACTGCCAAACGCTTTAGCCTCAATGGAGCTGGAATTTTCTCTTTTTCTTTCTATATTTTTTGTAGGCCTAGTTTGGCTGCCAGTTGCTGATGCATGTGACAGGATTTGATTTGAGTTTTGTTGTGGTTTTGTATATTCTTATGGCCCTTTGCCTGCTCCACTCCTTTCCCCTCTCTTCTCGCTGAACAAACGCCATGCACTGAAGCGCATTTCCATTCATGTTTGAGGGCAGCACATAATCAATATTTGGCAAACAGCCGAATATCCGCATATGACAAACAGGCGACAGGCGAAATACTATGCGATATACGAATATATGAGCTAAATATTACACGGGTAGCGGAGCTCCTCTATATTGTATGTATATAGGATATAGGGGGTCATGGAGCGGGCCCATCAGCAAAGTGCAGCAGCCAGCAGCAGCCAGCCCATTCCTGAGGCGCTCTTTTTGATGATTTACTAAAACGGATTTTGGTTTTGGGTATTTGTTGTTCGATACCCTTTGCATAAATCACTTTGGCAGGGTATATTGCAAGGGAGTTGAGTGTGGAGGCAGTTCCCATTTTATGGAAAAGTTTTTGACTCTTTCCTGTGAAGACTCGTCTGCTACTTAGTCGCAAGATCTATAGACATTTCTCAGCTACTGCTAGGAGCATTCCCCTTATCTTTTTAATCCCCTCCCTAGGGTATCCTTTATGCCACACACCATGCCCATTTTCGTCTCCAATTTCATGGAACTTCTTTTGAGTTTCTCTCTCTGCTTTTTGCAGGCCATAAAAATCAATGGCAGCAGTCGTCGGAGTCTCCGTCTCCTCCGTAGCTATGGAGATATTATTCCTTGGCACACATGCCATGCCCCAGCCCCAGCCCCAAACGGCGAACGGCAACCGTGTGGGAGTTGAAGGGTCGCCGCTGACATGAGCCGCAGCAAATGCATTTCAGGTGCAAGACGCTGTCGTGTGGGCGTTACCGAAGAGCACAATTCGATTTAGAGTGGGGCATGCAACTACTACTGCTACTACTTGCAACTCGGAGGCAGTTTTGAGCAGTCAAAAAGTTGTTTCCGGGGAGGGGGGAACCTTGTTTGTTGTCGTCACGAAATGGCTGCCAAGAAAACGGCGGCAGCGCGCCCCGAAATTTTCTCTTTCAATTGGACAACTGGAGCGCGATGCCACATGGGGAGTGGCCCCCAGCCCCCAGGCCCTTGCCGCTGCTTGTCACAGACTGCTGGAGCCTGGAGCCTGAGTGGCAATTGCTTACGCCCCGAGAATTCCACTTCGATTTGCTGCCCAATGTGGCATATGCGGCCATGTAGATTAATCTTTTGTTTGCCCCACAAAACGCAGCTCATTAGCATGCGGCGGGCGGGAGGAAGGCAGCAGGGGCGTGTGTCTGGAGTCCAAGATTAATTGTGGACCATCTTCAGGCACATTTCCCTTTGAGCTTTAGCTGGCAAACAGCGCACATTTTCAGCTCAGTTACAGTTGCCGCACTTTTGGCTACTTTTTGGGGAGGGCAGCGGGCAGCAGGACATGCCAGACGCATTTATGCTAAATGGCCAGAGCAAAGAATTGTCTTCTCTCTCTCTCTCTCTGTCTGTGTGTGTGTGGCAACAACTTGAAACTAATTGCCTCTTGACTGTTGGCTCTTGCCTCTCGGGATGCATGTGGGTGTGTTGCCTTCAGTCATTTTCCCGCATTCAGGTTGGGCTCTGCGTCACTTGGTAATTGTTCAACGCGTCACATTCCCTGGCAAATGTGCGGGAAAATGTTTAAATGCAATTGCGATGCGGTGCCCCTCTAACGAGCGTGGCAGCAGCAGAAGCCACGCGCACTGAATGCTAAATAGTTTTAAGAGCACAAAATTATTCTACATTTAACGACAGTTGCCAGAGGCTTAAAGAGAGAAATGATGCAACTTTTGCACACCAAAATGTGCAGAGAACTTTCTGCTTTTGGCGTTGAGTAAATTTTAGTGGCAGTTTCCAGCTTAAGCAGAATTCAACAAGGAAACACGCTTAAGAACTATTTGGTTGGTTAATCAATCAACGGCGTAAACTTACAACTATTTTCATTTATCAAAATTAAAGTTAATTTCCCCGTTTGCCAGTGTGTACCAAAAGTTTTGCTGGCCGTGAGAGGAAGGAAGAGAGCTGAGTGGCTGTTGCAGCAGCAGCATCATCATTAGCGTTTCCACGCTTAAATAATGATAATGAAATATCATAATCATCATTGTGTGCACTCCCTTTGCCTTCCGCTCTCTCACTTTCTTGGCTGATAATTACCTAAAACATCCTGTCTCCTGCCCCTGGCCCTGCCCCCTGCCAAACACTTTACTCTGACGTAATTCGTTTTTTAATGGCGTTGAGATTCAATTAAGCGCGTAAAAACCCTTTCTCTCTGCTTGTTCCTTTGGGCAAAAATGAAAATGAAAATTCTTTGCCTTGGTATCCATGCCCCAAACAGAGTGGCAAGTGGCCAAGTGCGCGCCATGTGGCATGTGGGGGCGTATCTCTGCATCTGCCTCTGTCTTTCTGTCTGCACGTATGTTTGTGATATTCTTAATAAAGTTAAAAGCGACCCACCACGCTCTTTGTTTCAACTTTGTGCTGCGGCTACGGCTGCGGCTGTCAGTGGCACAGACTCAAGAGGCAGCAAGAAGTTTGCTCCAAGAGTTCCTCCCACATATGGAAGAAGCTGAGCAAAGTCGCCCTCTCTGGCGACATCCTGTGGCCGCTTCTGTCTCCTGTGCCTTACAGGTTAAAAGCTGCTCGAAGGAAGGCAAAACTTTGCCAGAAATTGTATTGTTGCTCGGTGGGGAGGGAGTTCGGGTATTATTTGCTGTAAAAACAAGCTGCTGAATGTGGCTTAAATTTCGTGTTAAAAAATTGTGAAAACTGCGACAAAATCTGCACAACTTTCATTGTAGCTGTGCCTCATGCCATCTGCCTTCTTTTGTTCTGCGTTCTGGCTCCTGTGTTCCCTTACAACTGGCTCTGGTGTCCTGCCAGCTGCCAGCTGCCAGCTGCTGTTGCATCAGCGCATCCAATGGAGATGTCTCCTCTGGGCTGTGCCCCCCTGGTTGCCTTGGCTGCTGCAGCCCATTTCCATTTGAAAAGGTAAAAGGGCTCGTGGTTTATTTATGGATGTGCAGCGTCATGTGGCCCACTTCCCTCCGAGAGAGAGAGAATGTTGCAAGTCAGTTGGTGTGGCGTTAAATGTGCGACTTTACGCGCTAAGAGAGAGAAAAGTTACTTTTTGCAGCCAAGCAAAGGACATGCAACGGCACACAAATGGATGCTGTACCCCCAGAGGGGGGGGGAATGGATGGTAGAGAGTGAACGTGCCACACGAATAATTAATAATGTCTGGAGCGCGTCGGTCAATGTGTGGCTAACGATTCCAGCTCGCTGGCTCCCAGTGGGCAGGGCAGGGCAGGGCAGGGCTGCAGCCTCCTTGATATTTATCCATGCAGCGTGTGTATCTGCCTGGTTCAGCATTTACTATTTAATGAGCACTCAGCCGCAGATACAACTATCTGTGGGCGTTGCCACACAACCCACGGCGCCCCTACGTGCCCCAATCACTCGCTGGAAGGCAGAGAGAGAGAGAGAGACAGAGACAGAGACAGAGCAGGATAAATCCTACAGCTAGTGGCATCTCCACCTTTTGCCTATTTGCTGTGCAAGAACTTTGCCTCATGGCCGTCGCCTTTCGTTTCACCTTTTTCTGTAATTTTCTAAATTTACCTTTTGG